AAATAAATAAATATATAAGTGAATAGAATTACGAAAACAAATTAAGCTAGCTAAAAGGTCAAAAGGAATAAATTATTATGAAAGGAAAGAAAGTATGTACATACGAGAATTATAAAAGAAAATATAAATACATATATGTATAACTTAAGGCCTAATAATTTAAACAAGTAAATAGGAGTAGTCGTACTGGTATGAAATTAAGTACAATGAAATGAGAAAATTTTAAATCATAAAAGGACATGACAAAAAATAAAATGTGTTACATACAAGGTATTAAGGGGATCCCCGACCAAATCTATAAAGTGAGATAGGTAGTTATTTGCATTTCTTTACTAGGATGCTACCCAAAATGCTACCTACTAGTTGCACATGTAGTACCTATAGGATCGATCCACATAACTGCATGTATAATTAAATAAATACCTAATATAATACACGTGTTATAATCATATAGCAAATAATATACTTTATCCATAATCGCAATAATTTAGAGTATAGGGCTTAAAATAAAATAAAATCATAATATAAATTATTATTGCAATAGGTACATATTATACACGAAATAATAATAATTACGTTATAAAAATAATGAATAATTATAAAAGATTGTTTCGTATTATATAGAATCAATTAATCAAAGTTCAAAATTCAACATAATAAAAAAAAAAAAAATAGGAAGAAGATGTTGAATTAAATTAGAGATACGAACGTAATCAGAGTAGAGTATAAATATTATATTTATACAATAAAGTACAGTGCATGGCGCACATTTCAGCCAACTAACAATTATTTAATACTCACAAATTAAACATGTTGTAATTATAGACACACAACCGCATGTACACAAAAACATCAATAATTAAATATGAAAAAAAAAAGCATTTTCGCGCATATATTTCGCGTATATTTTATATGAATTTACAAGATTTTTTTTCCTTAAAATAATAATTTAACCTTGAATTTTATATTTTGTATTATGTTTTCTTGTTTATGTAAAAGTTGAACAATTTTCAATTAAATTTGGTTAATATATTGTTTTTAAAATCAAGTCGAAACAGTATCGATCCGCTATTACTTATATAAGTTTCATAATGTAATATTTTTTTTCTTTTATAGACAATAAAACCAAATATTATGTTATTATATACCAAAAATACTATACAAACATATATTTGGTTTATATAAACTTATATTTGTGTAATAACCTATCTTTTCATAAATCTATATTTCAAATGAGATAAACACATTTCTTAGGAGTCATGTAATCTTAAAAAGGTATTAATGCGTTTACGACTTTTAATGATAAATAACATTTATAATAATAAATACTTGGTAATGTATGTAAATTTATTATGACACAATGCAATGTAAAATATTTAATACGTAAATTAAAAAGTGTTTAATACCAGAATTTTCAGATACATTTTAAGTGTATTCATAATAAAACATTTTGAAAGTTATGGTAAAATTTTGTAATAAAGAATATCTGATAAAGAAGTTAAATAAATACCTAATAGTTAACTAAATGTAAAAATAAAAAATAAATCAAGCTAAACTATTGAACCGAGTAAGCAAAACGTGTCCTTCTCATTGACACATTTCCTTATATCTCTATATCACATGTTTTTTTTTTTCCCATAGTAAATTTTATTTAAATGTAAGATTCAATTTGAAAAGAGTTAAAACTATTAAGTATTAATTATAAGTGTTAGCTTTTCTTTTCTTTTATAAAAGCAAGGACCTTAAATTTATGTAATAACCTACTTAAAAACAAAAATTGTTCTTTTGAATGTTTAAATTTTTAATGTTTTGTTGTGTAAAGTTGATATGTGTTACAGTGATTATTCAATTATTTTCTGTAAACGATATAGTAAATATCATACTCCCAGAAATTGTAATTAAAAAAAAAAAAATAACGCATTTTTTTTGATGGATGTAAAATTAAAGTAACTATCTAAAATTATGTATAAATAAGAATCATAAAAATAAATCTATTATTTTACACGTATCCATATATGTATGTAATAATAACATCATACGATGTAATCGCAAACTTTCCCATAAACGTACTTTGGAATTGAAAACAAAAGTGTCACAAATCGCTTACGCAGCTGGGATCGCAATTTGTATTTTGATCTGTCTTTTGTTATGTGATTATGTTATTGTTATTGAAAATGATTACGTGGCTTAACATTGACTTCTTTGTTCTGTTCATCTTAATATGAAATGAAATAATTAAATTTTTGGTTAATTTGAATAACCTCAGTAAATTATAAGATTTATAATATATTGAAATTATTCTTTTAGGAAAGCATTTAAGGGATTTAAATAGTTTATTTATGATATATGATTAAATAGTGAGCCTCGATTCTTAAAAATATGTATATGTAAAGGAAATAATTCTTCTCTCAAATGACATATAATTTTATGACTAAGTTAAGTTACTCGTACGTAACTATTTTATTAACTGAAATGAGAATCATAGAAAGGACTATATACATTGGCCATGTTCTTAATGATGTATACGCGAGCTGTGTACGTGAAAGAAAAGACACAATTATTTGATGAATATTATTATTAATGATATTTAATGCCATGCAGTAAAATGAAAAATAAATAATAGTTACCGAAGAATAAAGTAAATATATAAAGTTAATAAAAAAGTGAATTAAATAAAAGTATCTTGAAATGTAAAACAAAATATAAGAAAATATTTTTTAAAGTTTATAAAAAAAAAAAAAAATGTAATCATTAATTTTTTTTTTATTTTTTGGTCGGTGGGAGGTGTAGTGCCCTGTAGACTCCCCTTTACCTCCGACAATATACATTTATAAAATTAGTATTAAGTATAGAATAGAGGACAGTATAATTAAAGTTCTTGTACAAGCAACACGTCTCCTTCATTCAGCACCTTCCGAGTTCCGACATTACACCAAAAATCTAAATAAAATAATATTTATTAAAAATATATTGTGACTAAATATTATATGTTGAAGTTTATTGTAAAGAAATAAACATTACCTATTATGTTCGTGTAGAATACATTTCAGTTTGATAAATAGTGAGTGATTAAATTGAAACCGATTTATCGAGAAGTGTATTTTTTTTTCTGGAAGTGTACGCTGTTGGACCTACGGCCTTGACAGCTTCATCTAATTAGGCTCGTAGGCGAACACTTACGAACTATTGAGTGCAACGATTGCAATCCCGAGGTACCCCGACCCCTGCTTTCGGAGTGAGGCTCCTCGAACTGGGGGGGGGGGGGGGGTGGGGGGGGGGGCTCGATGCAATTCAAGGGCCCCTCAGAAGGAGGTACGAACCTCGGCTTGAATCACTATCGCAATTTTGTTTACGGGTCGCAAAAATTAGAAACGCCCCGTATTACGGGTGTTGCACCTCGTGTACGGGGTGTGTCTATGACCACGCGTACGCCGGCGAACGCGGTGTGCCCTAGTGTTCTGTACTAGAGTAGTGTCTGAGTGTGTGGAGAAGGGTACGTTGCAGTTTGCACTATTTAAATTCCCAGTCGTAGCACATAGTCTGGATTTGTGCCCAGTGTATAACAAAAGGCTCAACCCCCATTACACGGGCGGTATAACATAACTAAGGACTAGTAGGAATACTACATACCTCTGCCTACTCCTTCGGGGAAATACATGCGTGATGTTATGTTTATTAATTGAATAATAATGATTAGCAGGAGTGCTACACACCTCTGCTTACTATTTCGGGGAAATACAGGCGTGGTGTTATGTTTATCAATTTAATCTTATTTCTATCCAATTACTTGTATTTAGTAAATTATCATCAATAATGTTCTGTGTCTATATTAAGCATATTTGAAAATGTCGTGATTAATCGAAAATCAATCTTTTAACACTCGATTTAATAAAAAATCGATTCTGGTATGTATGAATCGAATCGGAGATCGATTATTTTTTAACTGAATCGATATGCCTGCTATACGTGTCATTTATAGGGAGTAAAACCACAGACATAGAGCATGGACTGAGACTTCCCTGACCAAATGTAAAATAAAATTGACTATATCCTAAATCCATACTTCTAAACTTAAAAGTAAATTCCATGTTCAAAAATCAAATCCCCGGACGAGTAATGTCGTAAACTAATATGAAACTAATTACTATAAAATGTTGGTCTTGATGCGCGAGAATTTTTGGTACCACTTTTGGTCATTCTCCTTTGTTACCATAAATATAGGGACGAAATGTTTTTACAGCGAAGAGGATAGCTAAAAGTTCTTTTTCCGTTGTTGAATAGTTGCCTTCTTGTTTATTTAATGTTCATGAGGCATACGCGATCGGTTTGTCTTTTCCGATAGGACCCTGCGATAATACTGCGCCAACGGCATAATTACTGGCGTATGTGGTGACAATAAACGGTTGCGAAAAATCGAGATATTGAAGTAACGGAGCTGAAGTTAATTTTTCCTTTAACAAATTGAAAGCTTGGGTTTGTTCTTGTGTCCAATTAAAATTAACATCCTTTTTTAATAATGACGTAAGAGGTTTTGTTATTTTTGAAAAGTTATCTATAAATCGACGGTAGTAACCTACTAGACCTAGAAATGATTTAATTTCCTTGGGATTTTTGGGAATAGGATAATTGGATACCGATTTTACCTTGTCAGGGTTAGGTGAGACACCTTTGTCAGTAATTACATGACCTAAATAAGTGACTTCGCGTCGAAGGAACTCGCATTTATCTGGTTGTAGTTTCAAATTGAAATCTCGAAACCTATCAAAAACAAGACGTAATTTTTCCATATTTTTGACGCTTTTTCACAAACCCTTTGTTCAAACTTTGGGGGCCACAATTGAAGTGAAGAAAGCCAATCTTTACCTATAACCTTGGGCAATCCATCTTTTACAACAAATAATTTCTGATTATTAACTTTAATAGATCCATAACTTATACTCAAGTTTTCTATAATTCCTAAAGGCGTAGAAGTAGACTGGTCAAAATTAGTAAAAAGAACATTACATTTTTTTTATCTCTAGCTCCGGGAATAACTTGTTTTTATCGAGTAAAGTAATAGTACTTACATCAGCCCCAGTGTCAACCTCAAACTCTAGTACCTTTCCATTTACAAAGATCTTTAAAGTAGTTGATGGAACTTTTCCTGTATTACTAAAACAGAAGATATCAAAGTTTTCAATGTCTTTAATGGGGAGGTTTTTATCCGAATTTACATCACTATTTTCTGAATTAAATTTTTGCACTACATTTAAATTTTTTACTTTTATTTTCTTATTTTTTCTACACACTTTAAAGATATGGCCTTTTACACCACATTCACTGCAAAATTTTTCTCGTAGGGTACAATGTGCTTTAATGTGTCCATTTTTACCACAACAAAAACATGTGATACTCTGCTGGATGGCTGGGTTTACATTTTGCCTAGCTATAACACTATGGTTTCTGTTAAAATATTTGCCTTGTATTTTAAACATTTGTGATTTTTCCTGCTCTTTTTCATTATTAAAAACCAACTTATATGCTGTCTCCACAGTTTTTCCAACGTTAATTAAACTTTCTAATGGCTGATCGGCTTGTTTCAACAGTTCAAATTTAACTGAATCACAGTAAGTACCATTTAGTAATCTTTCCTTTATTTCTTCATTTAAATTTTTGAAATTGCAATATTTAGACAGTCTCTTTAATTCCATAATATACTGATCTATTGTTTCATTAGGTTTTTGACATCTGCTTCGAAATTCTGCTTGATAAAGGGCATAATTTTTTAATGGGTGATAGTATTTTCTCAGTTTTTCGCAAATATTATTATATGTTTCGGTAACCGGCGATATGGGTGTGCATAATGTGGTCAATAAATCATAAACGTTTGTGCTAAGTTTTGTTATAAGTAATGGGACCTTCTTTTCCTCTGGGATGTCGTTTAGAACTATGAAACATTCAAATTGTTGCTGGTACGCATTCAAATTTTCACCGGTGAAAACTTCCAAAGTAGTGATAGAATTCATTGTGCTAATAGAACTAGGACTAGTGATTAAGCGGACTGTACGAATTTTTTCTTTTTGTTTATCAACGTATTCACGTAAGTATTTTCGAACGTCTTTGATGGTATGCGTGTCCAAGAATTTTGTTTCTTTTGCTAATATATTAGCAATTTCTATTAATTCTTCTTTAGTTTTTTCTTGTGTCCAAGATTTTTTTCCTTGTTTAATCAAATATTCGATTAGATCCATGTAATGGTAAAAACATTCATTCCACTTGTAGGTTATGTTACACGTTTGTCTTTGCGTTAAATTTTATTTCCTAATCTGGTATAGGAATTGGTAAAAAAAACTAATTAATTTCACTCGTTTTGGTTTATCCTCGTCGCCAATTGTTTTGGTTACTGGTCAATTTTCTTAAGTGGATTTAACTACGAAATTCAACACATAAAATCTAAAAATAACCCTGCTGACTATTTGTCACGTGTAGTTACCACATGTCAAGATGATAATTTTAAAAACTTAGAATTTCTTGAAAATAACTATGAATGTAACACAATAAATTATATTCATAAATCAAATTTAAATACATTAAATTGGCAAACTATTCAAAGCGAAACAAAAAAAGATAAAATTATGTGTGATATTCTTAGATACTGTAGAGATGGCTGGCCAGCAAAAAATGATCTTGGTGAAGAATATGAACCATATTTTGTCAGAAAAAATGAGATCTCAATGGAAAAAGAATGTTTGTTGTGGGGGTATAGGGTAATAATACCTAAAAATATAAGAGATAATTTCATGTGTGAGTTACATGCTAGCCATTTAGGCACCACACGAATGAAAGAAATAGCAAGATCTTATTTTTGGTGGCCAGACATGGATAAGGAAATTGAAATTATAACAAAAAATTGTATTATTTGTTTACAAAACCATAAGAACCCAGAAAAAACCAAATTAACAGTGTGGCCGCAGCCACCTACTGTTTGGCATAGAATACATGCAGATTTTTTGGGCCCTCTTTATTCAAAAATGTTTTTGGTTATTATAGACGCTTACTCTAAATGGCCAGAAGCATATATTATGAATAAAATTACTGCACAAAAAACAATTGAAGTGTTCAAAAGTATTTTTGTAAGGTATGGGTATCCCTTACATCTAGTTACTGATAATGGCCCAACATGGACAAGTGAAGAATTTAAAAATTTTTGTAAAATTGTGGGAGTAAACCAGACTTTTACTCCAACATACTACCCACCCACAAACGGGTTAGCGGAACGTTTTGTGGAGTCTTTCAAATCTCATGTAGTAAAGATTGTAGAGAGTGGCCATACGGTTGAATATGCATGTAATTTATTCCTATTTGATTATAGAAACACTGTACATAAAACTACAGGCCAGAGTCCAGCAAAATTGATGTTTGGCAGAGAGTTGAGATGTCGTTTCTCGTTATTAAGACCAAACCCAGTAGTGGACAAAATTGATACTGAGCAAGTAAAGCTTATAATTAATAGTAAAAATAACTTTAAAACATTCACTACTGGTGAAAAGGTGATGGTGAGAGACATAGAAAAAATAAAAATAAGTGGTCTTTGGGTAAAATTATTGAAGTTTTAATACCGGGTGTAACTTATATGGTAGAAGTGGATGGACTTTATTGGAAACGACATGTCAATCAATTACTTGAATGTGGACAGACTATAGAATAAAAAATATTTATTTAGGTTATTACATTATACTGAAATATTAATAAGTAGCATAAAAAGTTTTTTTTTTCAGTGTGGGGGGAGAGTGTTATAGATTTATAATGTCAAAGGCAACACTAGTTGTTGTCTCTAGTTTTTGTTTATGGTTATCTGCCAGAAAAATAAAAATCCTTTTTGTTATAACACGTGGTTGTATTAATTAATTATTTTTCCCGTGTCTAAAGTAAAATATAACAATTGGCGACGAGGATGGGATTGGTGACCAAAATTATGTTCGGTAATTCGGCGCTCTTCAATAAAATTCTTCTTTATGACGAATACTTATAATTTCTTCCAACAAATATATATAATTATGACAAAACTGTATTAATCCTCGTTACAATAATGATGTAGATATAGCCGCGTTAAGTATAATAATGCACGGCGGTAGTTTTTGCCAGCCAGTCCGTCTCAGCTGTCCTCCCGCGCCCGCGCGTCGCACCTCCTTTGTGGTCCAGCAAGGGTGGGCGTAAACATCTTCCACCCCTCGAAGACTGTGGGATTTCGAGGTATCTTCTTGGTCATTGCTCGTTGGGCAATGGACAGAGTTTTGTAACTGCACGCCGGATGACACCCTTTGAAGTGATGACATCTGCTACGCGCGCAACGCCATCGGTCCCTGGATACAGCCGATGGATGCGTCCCATGCGCCATTTGAGTGGTGGTAAATTGGGCTCCTTGAGTACCACCATATCGCCTTCGGAAATTTGTCCTTGACTAATGCGCCACTTTGATCGCTGCTGCAGCTCATTTAGAAATTCAGTGCGCCATCTCTCCCAAAATTGCTGACGTATCTGATCGATGAGTTCATATCTAGCCAGATATCTTGGGTTTGTATCGATTAGTACGGGAGATGGTAGTGAAGTGAGCGGCTTGCCGATCAGGAAGTGCCCTGGACACAATGGGTATAAGTCTGTCGGATCGGATGATAGGGAAGTTAAGGGCCTGGAGTTTAATATTGCCTCAATCTGTGAAAATAAAGTCGCTAACTCCTCAAAAGTTAAATGCGTATTCCCTACCATACGTATTAGATGGTGCTTAGCTGCCTTAACACCGGCTTCACTAAGTCCGTTGAAATGCGGAGAATAAGCGGGCGAGAACTTGAATTTTATGAATTCTCCGGCAGCATATGACGAGATTGATTCACTACATGATTCAAGAAATCTTTTGAACTCATTATTTGCGCCCACAAGATTTCGTCCATTGTCACAATGGATCTCGCTAGGTTTGCCTCTGCGAGAGATGAAGCGATTTAAACACATAATAAATGCCTCCGCACTCAAGTCTGATGCAATTTATAAATGAAGTGCTTTCGTTGTAAAACACACGAATATACATAAATAGCTTTTTATAATTTTGCAACCACGTCCCTTTCGGTCACGTGTCAAAAATGGGCCAGCGAAGTCGACACCCACGACTTCAAACGCAAAGCTAGGATTCGTGCGAGCTGATGGTAAGTTTCCCATTATTGGTGTTATAGTTTTAGCCCTTAATATTCTACATATTCTACAATTATTAACCGTAGATCTAGCTAATCTCCTTCCCGCGATGGGCCAAAATAATTGTCTGACGTTAGTCAGCAGAAGCTGTGCACCTCCGTGGCACAATTTCTTATGTTCGTGACCAAACAATAGTTTTGTAAACTGATTCTTTGATTCAAGTATAATGGGATGTTTTTTACTAAAGATTTCAGGTGAATTTTGAATACGACCACCAACTCGGAGAATGCCCTTCTCATCAACGAATGGTCTGAGTGATAAAAGTCGTGATTTCGAAGGTAAGCATTTTTTATTATTTAGTAGATTAAGTTCGCATTCGAAACACTCCTCCTGGTGTTGTTTGATTAAATGATGCAAGGACTTCTCAATTTCATCTGTAGTGAGGTGTCCTGTAATTTTATCTTTAGAGTGTCTTATGTTGTAGATAAACCGCAAAGCATAAGTCAAGCTTCGCAGTAAACTCGTGAATTTTGAGTAATTCTCAAAGTTCACTAGTTTATCAGAAGTGTTTGTCGTTGTGCTGCTAGATGTAACTGTAGTGCATGTTGTAGTTTTGGTAGTTAGTTTATTAGGTTTAGGCTTAGTTGTGTAAGTTTTAATTTCAGGTACATGGAGAGTAGGTTTTATAACTTCTGGCCATGCCGATGGACTATCCTCTAAAAAGGAAGGTCCATGCTATCATAAACTGGCATCGTGTACTTGGGTGGGATTTAGACCACGTGACGCTAAATCGGCCGGGTTTAGGATACCTGGAACGTGCCTCCAGGAGCCAGTTGCTGTTAGTTCTTGGATTTCTGAGACACGATTGGACACGAAAATTTTAAGATTCTGTGATGCTGTATGAATCCACCCAAGCACAACAGACGAGTCTGTCCAGTAATAAATATTTGTGAATGTTAATCTTAATGTCTTTAGTACCTTCGAGCTCAGACGTGCCGCTAATAAGGCGCCACACAATTCAAGACGTGGAATGGTTTGAGCTCGGATAGGAGAAACCTTTGTTTTAGCACACAGTAGATTTATAGTTATATTGCCTGAGCTACTGATTGAACGAACGTAGACGCAAGCTGCATATGCATCTTGTGAGGCATCACAAAATGTATGCATCTCAACAATAGCGTTAGGGTCGTTATCGAGGACGAATCTAGGTATTTGGAAGTTCACCAAACACCTGAGCCCTGATACGAAGTTGAACCATCTTTGAGCTAAATCTGCAGGAATAGGATCATCCCAATCTGCCTGAGACATCCACAGGTTTTGAAGGATTATTTTAGGCACTATGGTACATATACTTAATAATCCGAGAGGATCAAATAATCGAGCTGAATTTGACAAAATTGATCTCTTAGTGGCTGTTGATGAAAATTTTATGTCGACATGGAAATTGAAGGTATCTGTGCTTGGATCCCATTTAAGTCCTAATGCACTGGACTGGGTACTGAAATCTAAATCCTTGGGTATCAGGGAGTTCGAGTTATCCTGGAGGACTAAAGCCACATTAGTACGAAACTTCCGCAATGACAAATGTGCTGAATGAAGAGTATCTGTTACAGAATTTATTATATAACGTAGATCCTCTTTCGAATTACTTCCCGTAATTACGTCATCGATGTAAAAATCGTTCCTTATGATATTAGCAATCCTATTGTCGTGACATTCATCAGCTAGCTGAACTAGACATCTCGTACTTAAGAAGAGAGCCGAGGAGGTTCCGTAACTGATCGTATTGAGTTGGAATATCTTAATCGGTTCGTCCTCATGCTCACGCCATAAAATCATCTGGAGATGCCGTTGTTCAGGCTGTATTAAAATCTGTCGATACATTTTTTCCACGTCAGCTGTCACAACGTATTTATATTGTCGAAATCGTACCAGGATTGAAAACAAATCATCCTGGACGACCGGGCCCACGTGCTGAATATCGTTGAACGAGATACCTGTTGTTGTTTTAGCTGACGCGTCAAAAACGACCCTGAGACGCGTTGTTTCGCTACTATCCTTTATCACA